GTATGGAGGTATTGGGCGCAGATATGGAAGTGTTGGTTGGGGGGGTTATTGGGGGTTATGGACTCCCTGGAAAAACAATATGGGGATTTTCTTTTTTTTTTGTGGGGTGCCGCCGACCCCCGACCGGCAGGTGCCGACCAGTCATGGGTCGCCGACCTTCGGGGTATGCAACACTGGTACCAGTTGTAGTATTTTTTTGCACTGCTTCATATCTCATGTCGAATCTGGATATCTTTTGTTTGGCAGGTTTCACGTGTGAGGAACGCTTTGGCCTTTGCCACGCACCAGTTCTTCCAAAATAATGGATTTGTTTGGGTGTCCGCACCCATCATTACGGCATCTGATTGCGAAGGGGCAGGGGAGCAATTCTGTGTCACAACCTTGGTACGTTCGCAATATGCCTTATCCTTTTTTTCCTTTTCGGTAAAGGGCTACGGCCCCTAAGGTGTTGATATATTATCATCCAACTGACTGGCCCAAGGTAATTCAGAATTGTTCAGTTTTAGTATTTTAATCATCTGCTTTCAGTGGAGTTCGAACTCAGGTCTATATTTCACCAGTTCAGTTCAGGGGTGTACCCACTCACCTGGGCCCGTTGGTGCAACACACCTTGTCAAAACAAGAGCACACCTTTTTTTCATGTTTATTTTTTTTTAAATAACTTTTCATTCCGTGTTACCAGCCGGCGGGCCGCCAGGGTCACCTTGGTTGCCAGGGTGGCCCAGCTGGGCAAGTGCCAAGGAAGGTCCCTGAAAAACGAAAAAATGATTTAAAAATCCGAAAAATCCGAAAAACGAAAAAAGAAAGAAATCCAAAATTTTTCATGCAGAAAAATAAAGTCAACTACTCTTGCCTCAGGGTTCACATTGAAATTCTTTGTCGAAAGGAAAATAAAAAATTATATATATATTGTCACAAGTTATCAGAGCACAAAAGCAAAAAAAACAAAAGGAAACAAAAAAGATATCAATATTTATCTTCTTACTTACAACTCCCCCTGTTCAGAACCTCTTGCGTACAAGGCCACCCACGTGGATGTAGGCTGAGCGGCGGCTGTCCCAGCCCCCGTGTGTCATATCGACCCACTTGCACACAGCCAAAGGGCAAAGAGGCAAGGAAAAGAGGAAGGGAACAGCCAAATACAACAAAACAGGGGGCAACAAGCAACAGCACCGAAAATGGATCCTAGATGACAAGTCCCACATGCAAGCACCGCCCCTCCTTCACAGGCCAAACAACAGGACAAGACCACCCAGGACAAAACTCTTGTCTGCCAAAAAAACTATATACAGCAGATGGCCTTATTCGTCATCAAGACGTGGGTATTCCCATTCCTTAACCATTCATGCGCTCATAGGCCGAACAACAAAAAAAACCGGATGACTGGTCCCACATGAAAGCACCGCTACGCTCGCCAAAATAGACCGAACAACGGGACAAAACCAACCGGGACGCAGTATGGACGCAGTATATATATATATGAAACTCCGACGAAACAGTTTGTCACAGCCCCTCGTTTGTTGTCCTCTTCTCTCTCTCTGCCTACG